AGACTATAGACTAGACTATAGACTAGACTAGACTAGACTAGACTAGACTAGACTAGACTATAGACTAGACTATAGACTAGACTATAGACTAGACTATAGACTAGACTATAGACTAGACTATAGACTAGACTATAGACTAGAACTATAGACTAGACTATAGACTAGACTACAGACTAGACTATAGACTAGACTATAGACTAGACTATATACTAGACTATAGACTAGACTATAGACTAGACTATAGACTAGACTATAGACTAGACTATAGACTAGACTATAGACTAGACTATAGACTAGACTATAGACTAGACTAGACTATAGACTAGACTATAGACTAGACTATAGACTAGACTATAGACTAGACTATAGACTAGACTATAGACTAGACTATAGACTAGACTATAGACTAGACTATAGACTAGACTATAGACTAGACTATAGACTAGACTATAGACTAGACTATAGACTAGACTATAGACTAGACTATAGACTAGACTATAGACTAGACTATAGACTAGACTATAGACTAGACTATACTAGACTATAGACTAAACTATAGACTAGACTATAGACTAGACTATAGACTAGACTATAGACTAGACTATAGACTAGACTATAGACTAGACTATAGACTAGACTATAGACTAGACTATAGACTAGACTATAGACTAGACTATAGACTAGACTATAGACTAGACTATAGACTAGACTATAGACTAGACTATAGACTAGACTATAGACTAGACTATAGACTAGACTATAGACTAGACTAGACTACTATAGACTAGACTATAGACTAGACTATAGACTAGACTATAGACTAGACTATAGACTAGACTATAGACTAGACTATAGACTAGACTATAGACTAGACTATAGACTAGACTATAGACTAGACTATAGACTAGACTATAGACTAGACTATAGACTAGACTATAGACTAGACTATAGACTACTATTCTAGTCTATATAGTATATAGACTACTCTATAGTCCAGACTATAGACTCTATAGTCCAGACTATAGACTCTATAGTCCAGACTATATACTACTCTATAGTCCAGATTATAGACAATTCTATCGCCCATACTATAGACAATTCAATAGCCCAGACTATTCTATAGTCCAGAATATAGACTATAGTCTAGACTATAGAATATACTATAGTCTAGACTATAGAATATTCTATAGTCAGGACTATAGACTATTCTATAGTACAGACTATAGACTATTCTTTAGTCCAGACTTTAGACTATTCTATAGTCCAGACTATAGACTATTATATAGTCAAGACTATAGACTATTCTATAGTCAGGACTATAGACTATTCTATAGTCCAGACTATAGACTATTCTATAGTCCAGACTATAGACTATTCTATAGTCCAGACTATAGACTATTCTATAGTCCAGACTATAGACTATTCTATAATCCAATTATTTTGTTCACTGAATGTGTGTGAATTTATTATATCTCTAGCAAAACATATTCGTACGTGTCACATTCATCATCTATTTGGGGTCTTTCCGTCTGTCATACAAATATTTACTTGTGATACATTTCAATTAAGATTTATTTAATTCTATCAAAATGCAAAATGTTTATGGACATTATTTTTATGGCATAATAGAAAAATATGTGTCAAATATATTTAAAAAAGAAACTACAGAAGACCCTCTTACAATAGGAATTTAATTTATAGATACCTAGTGGAAAATTTTTTGTAATATCCTTGTGAGTGAGTGATTGGAATTTTAATAGGAAAACCGTTAGAAAATAATAGTGTGGTCAACTCGAAAGTAGTAAACTTTTTGAAAAAGTATCTAAACTGTTAAAGAAATCTGTTTTTTATGATTAAAATTTAAAAATCTTTAAGAAAAGATATAAAATTATATTATTTAATGAGTTCTTTATATTCTTACGAAATAAATATAAATTATTTATGATTTTTTATGATTTTTTATTATTCCTAGTCTAAATGCCATAATTTTAAAATTGTGTTAAAAAGAATTTATTAATTAAAAGTAATTTATGAGACAGTAATTGTTTTTTATTTAATTTTAAAGCTATTTCTCTTGTTTATAAAAAATAGAAATGTATTTTTAATAAAAAAGATTTTAAAGAGTCTGCTGTTTTTTAAAAAAATAAATGTAGATAAAAACAATGTTGTTTTTATTGTAATTTAAAATTGTATTAAAAACGTTTTAGAATTATTTAAAATTTCTTTGTTTTTAAAATTTGTATTTGTTGATGATTTTTTTTTTTAATCTTTCCAAATTAGTCGTGTGAGTATAAATTCAAATTTTTATGCATTTATTGAACTGTTAAATGTTAATTAATTTACTTTTATACAAAATCAATGACAATTTGTCGTCTGTTTAAACAAATTTGTTAGGCTTTTATTAAATTTATTTTAGGTGATTAAACTTTGTAAACAAAAATCTTGTTAACTGAATTTTAAATCAGTTGATAAGTTTACTTTAGTTGTTTTTCAGAAGATTTTTGTGAGTCATATAAAAAATATACCTTGTTTTTATAAATGACTTTTTCTTTATTAACTATTTAATATAATTATTTAAATGCCATGACAATTTAAGTGTTAAGATCTTAACAAAGATCAACAATTAAGTGGTAAACACAATTTTACACTTAATTTTATTAATAGTATTACAAGTATAATAAATGTTTCTTTATTTATCTGGTAATTACCTACTGCAGCCATTTTCTTCACATTGGAAAAACACGTGCCAATTTTCTTTTTTTGACAAAGAAAAACATTTTTCTTTAATTAAATACAAAACTGCTTTATTTTTTAACATAAATGTAGGCGTCATCAAAAAAATGTATGTTAATTTACCAAAAGTTCATTGTACTCAACACTAAAAATTTAATTTTAACTTTAAGTTTTATTAAACTCACAAATTTATGAAAATTTTATCGTAATATGTTTTCTACGTAAACAAGTTTTATTTAAAACAACTCAATTTTCTTTTATTTTATTAAAATATAATCATACTTATTATTTTCTTCTAATATTCTAGCAATATAAACACTTTCTTGTAATTAAGCGTTTTTATTTGTTACGCATGTTTACAACACTTGTTAAATGTGCCAAAATGTCTGCATTTCTTTGTTTATTTACAGTTGTTTCAAACAACTTGTTTGTTATTGTTTGCTTGTTTGGCAAAATGCCTGACATTTGATATGCAAACTTTGTATTGCAAAAACATGTTCATTCACATCTTTGTGTGCTTATGTTTATTTGTTTTGAACTTGCACGTTTTTGTTTTTTTCTTTTACTCGCCGTTAATTTCATAATGTCAAGTTTTTGTTATTGTTTTGCTGCCTCTGCTCTTTTCTTATGTTTATATTTGTTGCTTTTTGCTTTTGTTTACGGTAATTCTAATTGTGAATGCTTATACAATTTCAATTTGTTGTTGTTGCTGTTTAAAATAATGTGTTTGCTTGCATTTATTTTTTTATTATTTCTTTATTCTTGTGTAAATTTACTTTAAGTTAATTAATCATTGCTTTTCACTCAGGTTAGAGAAATATCAGAACATAATAAGCTATAGATCAGTCTATAGTCTAGGCTATAAACTGATTTCTAGACTAAACTATAGATTAGTCTATTTTCTAAACTTTAAATAAGACCATAGTCTCAACTATAGATCAGTCTGGGATCAAAACTACTGTCTAAACTAGATTATAGATCAGTCTTTAACATAGACAGGTATAGACTGTAAATCAGTCAATATTCTGAGCTTTATTTCAGACATTAAACTATAGATCGGTCTATAATCAAGGTATAGTATAGACTGTAGGTCAGTCTTGATCAGTTTATACTATAGACTGTAGATCAGTCAAAAATTCAAATTATATTTCAGATTCTAGACTATATTTCAGACTCAAGACTATAGATGGGTCTATAGTCTAAAGTTTAGACTCTAAACTGTATATGTAGTATAGATCAGTCTGTAATATAGACTATAGATCAGTTTGTAGTCTAGACTATGGATCAGTCTGAAGTCTAGACTATAGATCAGTCTGAAGTCTAGATTATAGATTAGTCTGTAGTCTAGACTTAGATTAGTCTGTAGTCTAGATTATAGATCAGTCTGAAGTCTAGATTATAGATCAGTCTGTAATATAGACTATAGATCAGTCTGTAGTCTAAACTATAGATCAGTCTGTAGTCTAGACTATAGATCAGTCTGTTATCTAGACAATAGATCAGTCTGTAGTCTAGACTATAATCAGGCTCTGGATCAGTCTGTAGTCTAGACTATAGATCAGTCTGTAGTTTAGAGTATAGATCAGTCTGTAGTCTAGACTATAGATCAATCTGTAGTCTAGACTATAGATCAGTCTGTAGTCTAGACTATAGATCAGTCTGTAGTCTAGACTATAGATCAGTCTGTAGTCTAGACTATAGATCAGTCTGTAGTCTAGACTATAGATCAGTCTGTAGTCTAGACTATAGATCAGTCTGTAGTTTAGAGTATAGATCAGTCTTTTATCTAGAATATAGATCAGTATGTAGTCTAGACTATAGATCAGTCTGTAGTCTAGAGTATAGGTCAGTCTGTAGTCTAGAGTATAGATCAGTCTGTAGTCTAGATTGAGAGTTTTCTATAGAATTAGGTTAGGATAAGTTTTCTATAGAAAATTCTTTTGGAACTCGAGTTTTCTATATAAAATTTTATTGCGATACAAGTTTTCTATAAAAAATTGTGTTGGAACACAAGTTTTCTGTTGAAAACTGTGTTGGGACACAAGTTTTCTAGAGAAAATAGTGCCGGGATACAAGTTTTCTATAAAAAATCGTATTGGGATATACAATTTGCATAGAAAATAAATTTTGAACTCAAGATTTCTTGAGAAAACTGTTGTAAAACAAAATTGTCTTTGAAATCTCTTATGGAATCACTGTAGATAAGTTTTCTTTTGAAAATTTTATTCAATTTCTTATAAATACCTTTTCTTTTTATTACTTTTCAGTTAAAGTCATTGGCCAGCGTGAAATACTCAAAGGTGTTAGTGGCAGTTTTCGTAATGGCCAATTATCGGCCATTATGGGACCCTCGGGTGCCGGCAAAAGTAGTCTTTTAAATGCCATATCAGGTTACTGGTAAGAATTTTTAAGTTTTAATTAAAATATGAAATAATATTTATACGTAAAACCTTTTATATAACAAATTACCTTTATTTAGTACTTCCGGTGTTTCGGGCCACTTAAAAATTGATCGTAAAAACTCTTGCTATATCACGCAAGAAGATCATCATCAAACTTTGCTATCGGTAGAAGAACTAATGAATTTGGCTTGTGATTTGAAAATAAAACGTGAAGCTTGCAATAATAAGAAACAATTGATAGAAGATATTCTAGTAAATTTGAACTTAAATCATAGACGTAATGTAAAAGCCAATAAATTGAGTGGAGGTGAAAGAAAACGCCTCTCGGTGGCTTTGGAATTGGTGGCCAATCCTAAAATATTCTTTTTAGATGAACCCACTAGTGGTTTGGATGAGGTGACGGCTCTGCAATGCATACGATTATTAAGTCATTTGGCTAAACAAGGTCACACTGTGGTGTGTACCATACATCAACCCTCGGCCACGATTTTTAATTATTTCGATAATGTTTATGTTTTGGCTCAGGGCAAATGTGTCTATCAGGGTCCTCCCTTGGGTTTAGTGCCGTTTTTGGATCAGGCTCAAATGGAGTGTCCTAAACACTACAGTCCTTCGGATTATAGTAAGTGGGAAGTAAGTTTTTTTTATAATTTTTTTTTAATTGTTTTATTATTTTTCTATTTAGTCATCGAACTTTGTGATTTTGAGGGACCCAATATTATCAATCACTTATCCTCCCTCACGGACAATGGCAAACTTATCTACAGTCCTCCCTTGCTTATAGACAACAATAAAAATGTTTCGGATAAAGGCGTGGCTACTGCCGATTCTTCTCCCTTTATATTTCGTCATGCTGTTACCTCTTTCTTCCCCGAAATTAACCAAACTCCCGGTTTTTCTTCTCTATTAACAAAATCGCATAATTCTTTCCTTAACGGCACTTCTCTGCTAGTTGAACACTTGAAAATGTTTTCCAAAAATCTATCAAAGTCTTCGGAAGGTACTTCGGGTTTTCAGCAGTTTTGTGTTTTAACGCGCATTATGTTTTTGCGGATTCTACGGGCTCGCATTCCAATCATGATACAGTTTATACACCACGCCATGGTGGGTTTGTTTTTCGGTGAGTTTTGATTGAAAATCAAATCATATATTCAAGGTTAAAGGTTGTAATGTTAATTTCCTCTTTTACAGGTTTACTTTTCTATAATCTAGGCAATCAGGGTTCACATATGTTTGCTCATTTGAAATTTTGCATTAGTGCTATTTTGATGATAGCCTATACACAAGTAACCATACCGGTGTTGACCTGTAAGTCCATAAAAGTACTATATTTAAGAAAATTTTATAAAATTTCGTTTTTTTTTTTCAGTTCCTTTAGAAGTACAAATTGTTAAAAAGGAAACCTTTAATCATTGGTATTCCTTGACTCCCTACTATATGGCTATGAGCATAAGTCGTCTACCTTTGCAGGTATTTATCCGTCTCCTTTCCACTCTTTACTTTTGGCTTATTCATTTGTTTCCTTTAGATTTTATATAATGTTATTTATCTCACCATTATATATTGGATGACCGGTTTTCCTCCTCAATGGTGGCGTTTTGCCATCTTTATTGCTGTGGGTCTAATGACTTCATTTGTGGCCGAAGGTTTAGGTTTGTCCATAGGAGCAACATTTAGTATAACGGTAAGGATGTTGAGGATATATTCAAAAGGAAATTTTCTATAGAAAACTTTTGCTGCAATCAAGTTTTTCACAAACTTGACTATAGATCAGTGTATAGTCTCGACTATAGACCTGTCTCTAGTCTTGTCTATAGATCAGCCTATAGCCTTCAATATAGATTAGTTTATAGTCTTGACTATAGATCAGTCTATAGTCTTGACCATAGATCAGCCTATAGTCTTGACTTTAGGTCAGTCTATAGTCTTGACTATAGATCGGTCTATAGTCTTGACTATAGTCATGACTATAGATCAGTCTCTAGTCTTGACTATAGATCCGTCTATAGTCATGATTATAGATCACTCTCTAGTCTTGATTATAGATCAGTCTATAGTCTTGGATATAGATCTGTCTATAGTCATCACTATAGATCTGTGTATAGCCTTCACTATAGATCTGTCTATAGTGTTCACTATAGATCAGTCTATAGAGAGATCAGTCTGTAGTCTTGACTATAAATCAGTCTATAGTCTGGACTATAAATCAGTCTATAGTCTGGACTATAAATCAGTCTATAGTCTGGACTATAAATCAGTCTATAGTCTTGACTGTAGATCAGTCTATAGTCTTGACTATAGATCTGTCTATGGTCTTGACTATAGATCAGTCCATAGTTTTGACTATAGATCAGTCTATAGTCTTGACTATAGATCAGTCTATACTCTTGACTATAGATCAGTCTATAGTCGTGACTATAGATCAGTCTATAGTCTAGACTATAGATTAGTCTATAGTCTTGACTATAGATCTGTCTATGGTCTTGACTATAGATCAGTCCATAGTTTTGACTATAGATCAGTCTATAGTCTTGACTATAGATCAGTCTATACTCTTGACTATAGATCAGTCTATAGTCGTGACTATAGATCAGTCTATAGTCTAGACTATAGATTAGTCTATAAACTTGACTATAGATTAGTCTATAGTCTTGACTATAGATCAGTCTATAGTCTTGACTATAGATCAGTCTATAGTCTTGATTATAGATCAGTCTATAGTCTTGACTTTAGATCAGTCTATAGTCTTGACTATAGATCAGTCTATAGTCTTGACTATAGATCAGTCTATAGTCTTCACAATAGATCAGTCTATAGTCTTGACTACAGATTAGTCTATAGTCTTGACTATAGATCAGTCTATAATCTTGACTATAGATCAGTTTATAGACTTGACTATATATTAGTCTATAGTCTTGACTATAGATCAGTCTATAGTCTTGACTATAGATCAGTCTATAGTCTTGACTATAGATCATTGTATAGTCTTGACTATAGATCACTCCATAGTCTTGACTATTTATCAGTCTATAGTCTTGACTAAATATCAGTCTATTGCTTTGACTATTTATCAGTCTATAGTTTTGACTATAGATCAGTCTATAGTTTTGACTATAGATCAATCTATAGTCTTAACTATAGATCAGTCTATAGTCTTGACTATAGATCAGTCCATAGTCTTGAATATAGATCAGTCTATTGTCTAAACTATTGATTATACTATAGTATAGTCTACATAGGCTTAGTTGGAACTCAAGTTTTCTGTAGAAAATTTCGTTGAGATAAAAGTTATCTTTAGAAATCAATTTTTGACGGAATAGATGTTTCCTTTTTCTTCTCTTTTTTAGAACGGTTCCGTTGTGGGGCCCATGATCATTGCCTCCTTTATAGGTTTAGCCATTTATGGCTTTGATTTTGCCCCCCAAATACCTGACCTCATGAATTTCGGCATGAAAACCAGTTTTATGCGCAATGGAGTAGTGGCTTTGGTTTTAACACTCTTCGGTTATGGTCGTGAAACTTTAGATTGTGATGAAATCTATTGTCATTTTAGTGATCCTCGAGTACTGTTGAGATTCTTAGATTTGGAAAAGGTCACTTTGCAGCAACAATTTATGTATTTATTTGCTTTATTGGTATTATTTAGATCATTGCTGTATATAAGTTTAAGGGTACAATGTAAAACATAAGTGGCATGAAATAGGGAAGAGGATTAGATATTTAAAAGCAAACATTCCCAAAATATATTATTGTAGATTAAACTTAAGAACCATAACACTGTAGATGTGTGGCATACAAAGTAGTTAGAGCGTTTTAAGTTTATATTAGGAATTTGAAAGATTTGAGGTTAAGTTTTTTTTGAAAATTAAAGTTTTTAAAGCAAACATTATAGAAAAATGGTTTAGGGTGGAACAATTTATAAGTTAATAATTGGTTGAGCCAAACGAATTGGAATTCTTTAGTAATTTTTTCGAACCAAAAATTTACTACTATTGAAACTCTTAATTTTAAGTTTAATTTGTTTGGTTTTCATACAAAAAGGTTTTCGAAATAGTTTCTAAACATTTCTTATGAAAGAAAACTGTGATAATTTTAATAAAGTTTAAAATAATTAAAAATATTTTGTAACAAAATTGTTAAGAATTAAGTTAGTTTTAAAGTTAATTTAAAAAAAAATTATACAAAAATCTTAGAAAATTATGAAAATTTTATAAAAAAATTAAAATGAAATTATAAAAAAGCTATAAAACTGCTAATTTATATAAATCCTTAAGCAGTGACTCAGTATTTGCCCTAAACTTTTTCCATTTAATTGCTTAATTTGTTTATTTAAAAAATGCCTTCTCTTGCTTAAAATTTTTATTTTTAATTGTATATAAATTATTGATTATTTAAAAACTATATTTAATCAGTTTCCTTTTTTTTTTGTAAAATTGTTAGAAATTTTAAATAAATCTCATAAGTTTAAGTTTTTTCCAGAAACATTTCCAATATATTTTATTAAATAAAGCTTTAATATATTCTTTAGATTAAGAAAAATCTACTTATAAAGGGTGATATTGTTAAATGTATACTCATTTTTTAATGTAAATATAACAAAAAGTTTTTTTAAACTAAAATTAGTTTTAATATAAAATTTTAACCTCAAGTCAGACAGATCTATAGTCAAGAATAGAAACTGATCTATAGTCAAGACTAGAAAATAATCTCTACTCAAGACCAGAGACTGATATATAGTCAAGACTGATCTATAGTCAAGACTATAGACTGATCTATCGTCAAACCTATAGACTAATCTATAGTCAAGCCTATAGTCTAATCTATTGTCAAGCCTATAGACTAATCTATAGTCAAAACTAGAGGCTCATCTATAGTCAACGCTATAAACAAATCTATAGTCAAGTCTAGAGACTGATCTGTAGTCAAAACTATAAACTGATCTTTAGTCAAGACTATAGACTAATCTATAGTTAAGACTATAGACTGATCTATAGTCAGGACTATAGACTGATCTTTAGTCAAGATTATAGATCAGTCCATAGTCAAGACTGTAGACTGATCTGTAGTCAAGACTATAAACTAATCAATAGTCTAGACTATAAGTTGATCTATAGTCAAGACTGATTTATAGTCAAGGCTATAAGCTGATCTATAGTAAAGACTATAGACTGATCTATAGTCAAGACTATAGACTGACCTATAGTCAAGACTATAGAAAGACTATAGACAGATATATTCAAGACTATAGACTATAGGCTGGTCAATAGTCAAGGCTATAGACTAATCTATAGTCAAGACTACAGACTGATCTATAGTCAAGACTGTAGACTGATGAGTAGGCAAGTCGATAGACTGATCTATATACAAGACAAGAGAATGATCTATAGTCAAGACTTTAGACTGATCTATATGCAAGACTATAAACTGATCTATAGTCAAGACTTTCGACTAATCTTTAATCAAATCAAAAATCTACTCAAGACTATAGACTGATCTATAGTCAAGACTACATACTGATCTATATTCAAGACTATAGACTGATCTTTAGTCAAGACTGTATATTGGTCTATAGTCAAGACTAGATTGATCTATATCGACAATACCAGAGACTAACCTATATTCAAGATTGATGTCTAGAAATGACTATAGGCTGATCTGCAGTTAAGATTACAGAGTGAAATACAGTCAAGACTATAGAGTGAAATGCAGGCAAGATTATAGACTATTGTTAAGTCTAGACTATGGACTGATTTATAGTCAGGACTATATTCTAATTTTAAGTCTAGACTATAGTCAAGACTACAGCCTGACCTATATTCTTGACTATAGACTAATTAAAGCTTTTTGAGAAAACTTTAATATAAAAAAAGCTTTTCTTAAAATGTTTCTTTTTAAATTTTTAGAAAAATATTTTTTATTTTCTAAAATAAAAGTATTACAATAAAGGTCCATTCATTTAAACTACAATTAAAATTAAAAAAAAAATCTAAATAATTTACAAGTAAAATATCTGTAAATTTACAGCATAAAAATTAAATCAAGAAAAAATTTACAAAAGAGTCTACTTCTTATTGGCACTGCCAATTTTTTCTTTACGTTTCTTAACATGTTTCTTAATCTTGACTTTACGTTTTTCGGCCTTGGCTTCCTTAACCGCTTTCTTGCGCGCTTTTTTACTTTCAGGTGATTCATCACGAGGACGTGAAGAGTTTTTAAATTTAGGATTTTCATCATCATCATCTTCTTCTTCGGTATCAGTTTCTTCGTCCTCCTCCTCCTCTTCATCACCAGCGACTTGTTGTTCCTCTTTAGATTTCTCCTTGGATTTTTTAATATTTTTCTTATTTTCCTCCGATTCTGTTAGAATATCTGGTTTCTTTTGCACTTCCAATTGATCGTTAAGACCCGTAATTTTACCATAAATCAAATTAGCCTTTTCGCCCTTTTTAGCTTTGTCCACATCACGCTCAAAATAGCGCACCTCATCCAAACGCTTGGGTATAAAAGTATTTTGCCAAACTGCCTCATCGATTTTCTCTTGCGCTGTTATTGCCTCAAAATCACGATCTTTAATTTGTTCGGAAATCTTTTCCAAACAAGATTCCATATTTTCCTCGGTTATAGTTTGATCGGTAATAAAATCAAACAGTTCCTTAACAGTCATAGTAGCCACTGATTTTTTACGGAAGAACTCGGAAACATTGGTGCAATCTTTACGCAAGAAATCAAAAGCATGTGGATGATCATGTTCCACAGACTGCGAGACATCTATGATGATAAGCTGACCATCTTGTACTAAAATATTGAATTCCGAAAGATCAGCATGAACCAAACGACATTTATTATAGATTTTCCACATTAAAACCACACAGTCACGATAAAGTTCTCTGGCCTTGGAAGTAGTTATCTCTACATCTTTTAGTTTAGGCGAGGGCCAACCATTTTTGCCACAAAATCTCATAACCAAAACATGGGAACGCAGTAAAATGGGTTCGGGCACTGGCACCCCAGCATTAAACATTCTTAAATAGTTACGCATTTCCTTCTCCGCCCATGTGCGTACCATTTTACGAGGATTTGATTTACAATAACCGTGACGGAAACGAAACTCTCCACTCACATACTTATCACGATCTTTAAACACTAATATCGAGGTTTTATAGATCTTTATAGCAAACTCATCATCTGTATCACGGGCCAAAGCATGATAAACATTGGCCTCTTTGCCGGTGGAAATGCAACCATTGATTTCTTGAATCAAGCCACGATTCAATAGCTTAAACAAAATCATTCTAGTACGAGGATCCATTACCTGTTCTGCTGTGGCTCGATCATGTTTATCACGTATTTTCACTTTATTATCCTGTTTGGAGCCAAAATTAACCAATCGATTTGCCGCCTGAGCCGACATATTGGTAGTGGGATCATATTTTTCCACATTAATGCGTGCTGAATAACGTGTAAACATTTTTTCATTAGGTTGATAACTGCTGACACGTTGTGTGGAATTGGAGCCACCTGTATTACCACCACCACCTCCTCCTGAACTTAAAGAAACTTGATTGTGGTTGTGTTTCTGAAAACCTGCATAATTCTCCTCATAATCATAATTATCCTCATAGTCTTCATCCTCCTCATAATCATCATAATCCAAATCACACTCTTCTTCATTTTCCTCCTCCGCCTCCTCTTCTTCATCTACATCCTCATTTAAAATCTTTTCTTTTAAATCATCTTTTTCATCCGGTTTTTCATTTAAATCTTTAAACATAACATGTTTAACCGTTAATTTACTAAATTCACTGGCCAAATTTTCCTGTTAATTTAAATAAAAACATAATTTCATAAAATTTTCCATAAAAACTAGATTTCATTGAAGAGCTCTCACTTTAAACGGCTTTGGTGCCTCCTCCTCTTCTTCGGCATCACTAAATTGATGTAAATCTGTCATAGTTTAGTTTTTTCAACAATATTTTTATTTATATTTGATGTTTTCCCCAATTTTTATTAAAATTTTTATACAAAATTTGTAATTAAAAGAATTTATACAAACTTCCACACGTGTTTGTTGTTTATGTTTCTCAAACTGGTGAAATTGTCAAAATCAACAGCTGTTTGTATAAATAAAAACTTGGCTGCACTTTTAAGCAGAGCTGGCAGCAAATAATTTCATTTTCTAATTATTTTATATATTTTACAGAAAAATTATTTAAATTTTAATAGAGAAATCCATATTTGAATTAAAAAATATAAAAAATATTCAATTCAATTAAATTTTTAATTAAACTATTCAAAATCAATCATTTTCCTGTTAAAAAGATTAAATTTGTGATTAAAATAATAACACTCCCATGCCCTCTGTTTCATTCCTTTATATTCCCCTAAAGTATGGCAACCAGAGAGTTGCGCCGATTCGGCTTAAAGCCGACTAAGCCTAGCCGCCGAACAAAATGTCAAAACCGGCGCCACTGAAAATTTTTCAGCTTAATATACGGCTTAAAAATTTCGCCATATTTTGTACAATTTACAGAAAACTTTCGCTAAATTTATGGAATTTTACAATATAAAATTAATTTGTTTTCATTTAAGCAAGTTTTCTTTTATCTAATAATAAGCCGCTCATTGAATTTTGATCGCTGTAGAACTTTGCTCAACGTTCGATGTATCTGCTTCGCCTCAGATATTTTCGTGTTTTACGCGCCAAATTCGAGTCGCTGCTTTTGCTTCAAACCAGCTTCGTTGACGCCAACGGAGCTACACCTTTTTACATTGCTGGTATGTCATACCGTAAAGGGCTAGGATATCGAACATGTGTATTTTAAATGGAAAGTGCAGTTGATGTCAATTCTGCCGACTGCGAAAAGAAATTCTGCTAGAATTTTTCGCGCCAAACTGTTTTCTGCATTTTTTATTTGCAAAAAAATCTGTTGTTGTGTGTGTGCAAAAATCTAAAATGACAGTAATGATATTCTTTGAATAAAAAAATAATTTTTTACTAACAATTGAAACTAATAAGATTGTATGCTACACTACTATACCGAGGGTCATTGAGCAAAGAAACAGCAACGGGTTTAATTTAGTTAAATTGTTAATAACTACGATGAAAATGTTTTTCCAGGCGGAGTTTGTTTTCGTTTAATACCCAAAAGTGTTTATTGAAATGTAGATTTGGAAGATTAAAAAATGTAAGTAATGGTGTTAATTATTTATTTATTTGTCTATGAAGAACGTCTTTCTTTTCAAGAAAGAGGAGGCATCATGATGGTCTCCTGGAAGAATGCCCACAAGAGAGTGGCAATTGTATACCTCCCTAGTCACCTAGGCGGGTGGTGACATGGTATATTATCACCTAGAGGCAATGGAAGGAAGTTGATTGCCGTATTCAGGGGGTCTCCTTGGGATACATACTTATTATTATACCATTGATCTCAGCAGAATCACTAACATACACCCATAATAATGTGCCTTTCAGTGAAGCTCTTGTTGTCTCCAAACACTATGGTGGCCGAATATTTACAAGAAACAATTGTTAAGCCGCCTTTTATACAAATTTATAGCTTTGTAGAGAATGTCTTCACGGACCTAGAGGATATAACCTGGCTAGGTATG